CAGAGCATCAAATAGCCATTTCTCGGGGAACCTGGACGTCAGCGTACAGCTTTTGCAGCGGCGAGGACCCGGAAACTCACTTGTTCGCTCGGGGAAAGTGTGTTTTCGGCGTCTTGCAGCAGCGGGGGCGCCAGTCACGTTGCTCCCCCTCTCATTCGTTGTCTGCCGCTCCACCTTTTCCATTTCGGCGGCCGCTTCTCGTGGCGATCTGCCAGGCTTTGTCAGTAAATACGAGGCTATGCCACAAAATGTTTTGAGCGTGAATACGCCACACGTCACCAACTGTCGCGCGCTCCCCGCGCGCTCCCGCTGCTCTGTTCGCACTCTTCGGATTCCGACAGATTGAGGGCAGCTTCACGTCCACCTCCGCCTTTTCCAGATTTCAAGGTATCGTCTTTGGTTGCCGTCCGTCTTTTTAAGCTTTAGAAAGGCAATACTGGACACGGGAATCAGTGCCTGAATTTTACGTGCGTGGGACATGTACCGAGTGAGTCAAAGTGATCGTTTACCCTTTGAAAGGTAAACGAGCACCCCTTGAAGGGTAAATCGGGTTCTTTAGGTATTGAACAACTGTTTTTGTATACAAGGGGTGGGGGGGGGGGGGGGGGGGGAGGGGGGGCATGGTGCGTTTTGGAGATCACAATCTCAGATAATGAGCTTACACGAACAGCGCGTAAACTAATGAGAGCGCGAATTCGCTTCCTGCGGTGTCCATGTGCAGATGAAACAGCTCTGAAATACGAGCCAAGAGACGGTGTTAGGTCTTGACGCACCACCAGAATAACCTAATTTCTCGTTTTATAGTGAATCCAGTGTTTTAACAAAAATAAAGCAATAAAATCGCACGCACATAAAAAAAAAAAGAAAAAGCCTGCAGCGACGCATTTCATTGAATAACATTGTCTGCATTCAGAGATCAGTGGCGCCCCTGGTTTTTTACCTGCATTCATACGTTGGCTGTTGCATTGATCAGACACCTTTTGAAGCAGACGTGCGCCGTAGGTAGCGAAATAATTAATCTATCCGGGGTAACCTAATTCTCCGAAACTTTCACACATAGCCATCATCCTCGCCCAGCTCTGTAGAAAACCTTAGCGCCTTCCGTTAAATTTTAGCCACACGGTACGCGGTACGTGCTTCTATTATAAAACTAGAACGCGCCCGAACGTAAAAACCAACCTAACGGTACGTTTGCACTTTAGAATCCGCGGCCGTATCCGCGCAGGCGACGAACGAATTCTCATCGCCGGCGCTCAGGCACCGGTGGATTCGCAAGTGTAACCGTACAATAAAATCGCACTAGATTCGGTACACGCGAACATTGTTTCACGTCAATTTCTAAAAAAAAAGAAAAAAAAAAAAAAGCTTATTTGCTTACTTATTTAGATGGTATTCAGTGGCGGTCATAGTTGTGTTCGTTGCTGCGGAGCTCGAGT